ATACGTGCGTGCATGCTTGTGTGTATGTTATGCATATCGCGAGCAAATTACAAGCTTTTGAGCAGCTAACTTGATGGACACGTCAGGAGTAATGTTTGATTATATCGCTCCAGAATTCTTCAATTTTTTTGTGTCAGTATTTCATGTGAATTATTTAGGACATATTCAAAAATATAGTTGAATTACAAAAATAGTGCAAGCCCGATTTTGATTAAAAATTACAAAAGTTTATTTTTTAAGGCAATTAAAATGACTATTCCACTCCTGATATTAAAACCAATAGTGTTTCACTCTACATACAAAATGCCCCAATCAAGGCGGTGTATCTCAAAACGTTTATCGCTTTTTCTATCCGATTTTTCTTACCGCTTACTGGCCAATCTTAAACAGTGGCTCATCAATCTTAGGAGGCGTTATACGAGTACATCGATCGGTAGGTCGATATCCTATAAACCGAAAATGTACTACAACACAACCTCTGATTATAACGTAGCTTTCAGTTGTTTTCAGTATTTAACGCATTGTGGAGCCCTACTGGATACAATTTCACTCGTGGAATAGTCCTGTTAAATACTACTCGTGCTTTGGAAATTCTCAGATAAATCTCCCCCTCGCTTTGTGAATCGGGAATTTATCAACAATTCCCAAAGCACTCTTGGTATTACCTATATAATTTTTCTTTGGGCCGTCGTCGTCTCAAAGCTTCGTAGTCGTCTTGACGTATTGATTACGTTTCTCTGAAACGAGATCGTCGACAGGGACCTTCTTGCGTGGCCATTGCGACGCGTAGTTCAGCACGAGTCTCCAGCAGCGAGGCGGAGCGGTCACAAAAACCCTCTCGGAGCCCCTCTCTGTTAGGAGCGAATGGGAAGCGTCGATTTTCTGCTGGAGCGAACGCGGGTCTGGGTGAGGCTGTGGGGGGGGGGGGTCGGTCCCCTGCGCCTCTGACGGTAATCGTCGCCCCACCGCCCACCGCGTTCGCCCGGCGGCCACTTTCCGTCAATCGTTCGCCGCGACCTCCGCCCAAAGCAGCCTCGCGCTCTGCACCTTCCCCGATACACTGCCTCATTTCAGCTGTTTTTCTCCGCTGCGCTTCGTCAGCCGAAGGTTGTTGTTTTCATCCACCTCTTTCCGGCCTCGCTTTCAACCCTTCTTCCTTTCCAAACCTTCCAACCTCTTTCCACCCGTACGCCACTTCTTCGTTGTTTTTGATTTTTAGTTGGATTTTTCTTTTTGGATTTTTGCAATATTATTCACACTGTTTGACTTACGGCATTCGCCATCTAACACTGTGTTTTTCTCCTTGTATCATTTCCTTATATAATTTTGCTGGAATGTAGAAACGTTTGCGTATCAACAGTAGTGCTCAGAGAAACCGCATCACCTTTCTCACAATTGTAATCTGCAATATAATACTAAAAATACACATCTTAATTTGTAAAAGTCTAGCGAGTTATGATGGTAATGAGAACAGAACCATCATATAATCTACATAAAATATATAATTACCAATTTCCATTAATAATTGTTAAAATGTTTGGGAGCAGATTGAATTATAAAATACAGAATGCCAATTTTCTTCAGGTGATGCGGTTTCTTTGAGCCCTACTGTAATTTGTCTTCGTTTTGCCGAACATGTATACCCAGGAAAGAAGCGTGTTTTATAAAGTCACAATTTCCACGGTGCTTTATACTACAACCGTGTTGTCCTCTCCCTTGGCCTCCACCTTCCGGGCGTCTTCTGCGGTGCGTCCTGTTACTCTCCTTTCTTTCGCTGGACCATAGAAACGTTGCGAATCTACAGTAGTACTCGAAAAAACCACATCACCTTCCTCACAGTTGTAATCTGCTATATAATACTGAAAACACGCCCCTTGATTTGCAAAAATCGAGCGAGTCATGAAGGTAATAAAAACAGAACCATCATATAATCCACATAAAATATATGATTACCAATTTCCACTAATAAGTGTTTGAAATTTTTGAGGTTAAACTGCATTGGAAAGTACAGAATGCCCAGTGAGGCGGTTACTTTGAGCACTACTATAATTTGTCTTCGTTTTGCCGAACATGTATACCCAGGAAAGAAGCGTTTTGTATAAACTCTCAATTTCCACGGTGCCTTATACTACAACCGCATTGTCCTCTCCCTTCCGGGCGTCTTCTGCGGTGCCTCCTGTTACCCTCCGCCTTGTTTTGCTGCTGGTCCGCCGGCGCTGAGCGGCGTGCGAATCGCCGGCTCCGTCGGGTCTGTTCGCGGAGCTCCCGCTTGAAAAACTGTTTACTCCGATACCTTCATCTCGCGGGGATCTATTTGTTCCCAGCTGTTTACACCTTGGCGTAGTTGGGGGTGGGGCGCGGCGCGGACGTGGCGCGGCGCGGCGTGTTGGCCCTTTATTTTCCCGGCGTTTCCGGAGGGAGATTGATTCGCTGCCGGCCTCCGCGCCGCGCGCTCCTGCGGAGCTCCGAAAGGCCGGCGGCGGGGAACCCCCGAAAAACAGGCGTTTGTTTTAGCGCCGTTCTTTATTCGAGGGCCGCATTCAATAAAGGATCGATGACAGTCATGGAATAACGGTTTTTCCATTTCGTCGCGATCGTTAGTTGTTCAGTAGTTGTTAACAGGGGTACTGTATCAATTTTGTTTATGGCGTCCCGAAACATGGTCGTCGGCGCGTGGCGAACATTAAGAGAGCAATTGTATAACCCACTCCGGTTATAGTGAACTGCTGGGGACTGACATTTTTGGTTCACTATATCAGAGGTTCACTATATCCGATAATGTCAAAATTAAATACAATTTCTCCACAGTGATTAGTTTTAATAATATTGAAATACGGCAAAATACATTAACAATACCAACTAAAAAGTTCAAGATCTTTATTTTTGACGTTAAGAAAAAAATATTGTTTGCTTCGTAAACTTTTTAATTGTAATTTCTCTAGATCCTTCTCGAGTTCGAGCTCCGTTCGTACTTGACTCTGGGTTGCCCACTGTCTCTTGAGTATCGTAATGCAGCTTTGACACCCTTCAATGCCTCTTGCACTGTTGAAACACCGTTCCACAATTCGAAGACCTTTGTCTCGCTTAATTATACACGAGATGTTTTGGTAGCGAGATGGCGCACGTGGCTAATGAAACTGATCGCTGAATGAACCATCCCGGGTCCGCTACCTCCACCTCAGGGGAGACTTCTTGGATTATGACCTTTGACAGACGATATTTTTTTCTAAGCCGCCTAGTATTGGAATTTATGGCGCTGAGGAGATGCATTTTTGTTCCAGGAGGGAATTAATTTCCAGGACGTATTTCCTACGTTTACTATAGCCGAGATTTAGTGTTCACTATACCCGGATCCTCTTATGCTTATTTTTAATTTAAGTGAAACTGGACCAGTGACTTAGGTTCACTCTAACCGAGAAATCACTATATCCGAGTTCACTGTAAGCTGAGTCGACTGTATATTCTAACGTTTAGTCTTGGAACGCTGTTTATTTGTGTGTTTCGTGGTTGCTCATATCAGAGATGAAACGCGCTGCCCGCGGGATGCGAGTGTTGCTGCTGGCCACAGGGGGTCTCGTGGTCTGACAGCCCGCTCGCCGCCACCGGGCGTTGGTTTTACCGCGAGATTAGCATAATATTGGATAAGGTGGAATAGACCTTACCCTGTTCCCGGCAAAATCTGACGTTAAATGCCGCAGCTGCACATTAAATCCCAATGCCGTACTTAGCGGTCGAATGCAAACTGCAAATGGCTTTGATAGCTTAGACGGATCCTCGATCGACAAAATACATATTATGGATGTTAATCTCCTAATGAAAATGAGTAATTTGAAAATTATATTTCGCATTTTTTAATTATTTTCGTATCTTTTCACAAACGTTCTATACATTTTGATACATGGTTTACTTTTCATTTCTGATATTTTAGGTATTGACAGGGTTTGATTGAAAACGCAATTTTTGTTTTTAAAAGTTTGCAGATCCCAAATTTTAAATTAAATCAAACACGCGGAATATGGAAGTGCATCAACTGTGTTTATTCATGAAATATTTCGAGGAAGAATTTGCAGCCGTTTTTGAAAAACGAGATTTGAACATTTGGTTTTTGTTTACCTTCTCTTTGATGCTTTTGTATTAACAAAAATTCTGAGTTTACTTCTGGAGAGTTTTTAAGTAGAAAATTTACTTAAATACATGCGTTGAATTCTAGATTCTTTAATTGCCTTGGCTTCTAACAGCCAGCTTTCAAAGATTCATTTTAAATGTTTCATATTTCCTACTGAGTATTTCTATCTTCTTTGTTAGAAAGCTATCGCCTATAAACGTTTTTTTATTAGTAGTGTAAATTGCTCATTTTAATCAAATGTATTTGTAAAATATATTTTTGATCAAATTCCAAACGAATTAACCTCTTATTTTAATGGGAGTATTGTATTGTAAATATTGTGGATATGGAAAAATATATTCTTCCGTGAGAGCGTAGGCTTTCGCGGCCGAAGTAAGCAGCAACTTCGCCATCTGGGAGACGCCGAGTCCTAAGCACAAGTTCCGACGTTTCGGCCGTCGTTCTGCGACCTTCTTCAGGGCGAAAAGCATTTTGTGTCTAGAAAGCGGCGTCTCTCGGACAGCCAAGTAGATCCCACCTACTCTTCCGCGCCCACAATATTTCTGGAAAGTAAACGTAGCATGTTGAAGCATGAATTCTTGGCTGTCCGGGTGACACCGCGTCGTTGGTTGAGGAAGCCTGCGACATGACAGGCGAAACGTCGGCTTCTCAGCAAACGACGCTGTGTTACCCGGACACTGCCCTGAGAAAGCCTGTGACATGGCAAGACACACGTCGGACAGCGTCACCCGGACAGTCAAGAAGTCATGAACTCGAGCCGCGGAAGCTTACGTGTACATATGTTGAAGCATGACTACATTTTGATCGTTGTGTGCGTTGAAATGTAAATAAAGTCGATGTGGGTGCTGACCGCCAGGGGCGCTTGTGTGCGCAGGCGGAGATCTGGAGCGTGTTCATCGCCATCCTGCGCAAGAGCGTGCGCAACCTGCAGGCCTGTACGGACGTGGGGCTCATCGAGCACGTGCTCAACCGGCTGTCGCAGGCGGAGACGGTCGTCGCAGGTGAGTGCTCAGGGCAGCCCGCTCTCAGCGCGCTCGGGAAATCCTGCGATCGATAAGGTCATGTGTCCTATGTGAATTATTCTGTTCATCCAAACATAAAACGATTATACATTTTATTAATTTTTACATAAGTTAACAAATGAATCAGACGCTTCATAATTTACAAATGCTTGTGCTAGAGTGCAGTTTAATGGTCTAATAAAAAATGGGTTTAAGGATTTATTAATATGGTTAGGCGTAGATAAGTTCAAGAAATAGTTGCTTAGTTGAAATAAACAACAAACGTGACTTAACAGCATTAAATCTTTTCATTAGAATTGGGATGCTTGTTTGTTTCTACAATATACTAGAGCCGGAGGTTGATGGCACCAGTTGAGTTTTTTTTTTTTTTTAGTTAAAACAGTTTCTACAGTCTCAGAAAACTACATTCACAGCTTATCTTACGATGTAATTTTGTTAACGATACACTATGATAAACTTTCTGAGTCCTTAAAGGTCACTGAATCAATAGGCCCACTTGCGGAGTTGGTTGGCAAAGAGCCTGGGCTAGGCTGGTACTAGTCTAGTGTAGATTAGTACACTACTTCAGTGGGAGTGATAATAAATTACTGTTAACTGCGTTAGAGTGTTAATTGCCACTCCAGTTCAATCAGTCCCGATCTCTGCTGTAGAGTTATGTATTCAGATTGGAAAAAATGAATGACTTCATTCTTTAAGCAATACTTCCCGTTACGTTTTCGGGTTCCTGACATCCGAAAAGTGGTTTAAAACATTTCTTCGTTTCTCTGACAGTCCGACTATGAAAAATACTCGGGCCTAAGATTACACATGATTCTTATCAAAAGGAACGATTCGTGCTCTTAATGTCGCAGCCCGTCGAATTTTCAAATTTGAATAATTTTAGGAGGAATGTTATACAAAGCTCCCGCGACATTTACAATGTTTCCCAGAAGAATCAATCCTAGAAGACTACAAATATCGGCGACGATCTGAAAAAGACTCGTGAATGGTGTATGGCTGATATGACGGCAAATAGAATAAGAGGCAAGCAACCTGTCGCAGTAGACAAAGAAATGTGAGGTGCTGGAAGAAGGGCAAGGAGAAGATGGCGGTGTGCTGTCATGTGTTATTATTTGTCCCGGTGACGAACCAGCGTTGGCGGCCGCCGACCGCCGCTTACGTACAACACGCAGCGCTCGCACGCACGCTCACGCCCTTCGATGGTCCGCCCGCCCTGCCCCCGCCCGCCCTGCCTCGCCTGCCTCGCCTTGCCTCGCCTTGCCCTGCCTGCCTCGCCCTGCCCCGCCCTGCCCTGCCCTGCCTCGCCCTGCTCGCCCCGCCTCGCCCGCCTGCGCTCCGCCCGCAGCGCCCAGCCCCGCCCGCCCCGCCCCGCCCCGCCCCGCCTGCCCGCCACACCCCGCTCCGCTCCGTCCCGACCGTTTCCCTCGCTCCTCCCGCTCAATCCGTCCCGCGTTTTACGTCCCACTCCGTCCCTCTCCGTCCATCTCGTCCTTTGCCCAGCTCCACCCTTATCCTCCAGTCCATCATCTCCGCCCAGCCCTTCTCCTCCGCCCCACCTCACAAAAGATACCCCTGCCTCCGCCTTGATCCCTCTGCCGTGCGCTGGGGCAGCCGAAGAAGGGCGCGTGTCCAAGGTGCGAATCGGCAACTTTCTCTTTTAGCAAAGTAACTCCCAGAGGGGACGAATCGAAGAGCCGATGTGTGAATAGAACACCTCCCCTTTTTCATCATAAACTGAATTCATCACAAGAATGTTTTCGGATGTGTTTTCTTCTCCAGTTTCCTTGATTTGGATTCTATGATTTGAAGATTTTTAAGTGTGGATATCTTGAAGGAGACAAGTCTTCTGGGTTTATTGTACCCGCGGCAAATAGAAATTATCACATGTAGCAGGGGATATCAGTCTCGGAGGGGGTATCCTGGGCATTACACTAGTTTTCTTCACGTATACTTACTACTGCGTTACCAATTGGTTGGTGCTTTTATTAGTGTTCACCTCGATGAATAAATATATTTTCGTTTCACATAACCTGTTTTGTGTGTCACTAATTTCGGATTGCGTACTTCAACCAGCGGTTCCGTTAGTTTTAATTGTTACGTAATACGAGAGGAATCGTAAGAGCTAGTAATCACGTCTGTGAGTGCCTTATAACTCCACAAAAGCGCGTTGTAGTGGCTAAAAATCCCGCAAAACACTTATTTGTGATACTTCTCTTAGGAACAGAAAAGAATGGCCAGTTCCGCAGCAGAAGACCGACACACGTCTAATGACATCTTATTTGCCTCATATGATGCATAGAAGAAGGCCTAAATGGGGCTGACAGACGCTGGATACCCGATTACTATAAAAATATTTGTAATGTAAGAGTAGCCCAACGAATAGTTACTTTCTCAACTGCTGATTTCTCGCTTCCAGACAGCAGGTCTGATGATGATGATGATGATGATGATGATGATGATGTAGTATCAAAATCCGCTATGTACGAAAAAGGAAATGTTGGCTATATCAAAGCATTTTTTTAGAACGACATCTAAAAATCATCCATAAACCACTAAGTTGACATTCTTTCCTGTTTTATTTCTGTCCCCGAATTCAGAGCTTTATTTGTATTCAGCCGGTCTCTTAACAAGACTGAAAAGTTCTCAGGGCTGACATGTTGGTGCACCTCTCACGGATTTCGCCCCCACAGTGAAAGAAGTGGCAAACGCTTGGACCTAATGTCTGGGGGGGGGGGAGATCAAAGAGAAGAAGAATCCAGCTGTCAGTCTGCGAAGATCAAGAGGAGAGCTGTCTTCGAAAAACGCATTCGATCGCTCAACCGAACGTGCTCCAGTCGCTTCTATCGGCGGGTGACAAGACGGAGAAGGATGAGGGGGCGGAGGGAGGGTGGGACACCTTTGCTCGAGGATGAGCGCGAACAATGTGTTTCTCAGACGATCACGCGGATTTACCCGTCCCCCACACCCAGCGAGGAGGAGTTGCGAAAAGAACAGAGCCTGATCAGAAACAAAGGAACAAAGTAAAAGGCTGGGATGTGGTGTGACAAAGGATGATGGACGAACCTTTTGATTAATCAGAGCGGGATTTCTATTTGAGGTAGTATGCTGAAAAAGAAAGGACCAGTCTTTCGGAATTGTGTTGTGTTCAAGTGGGGAAACACTCTTCAGTACTGTCCAAATTTACCTAAACAGTACTCAACATTTTTGCTACATTTACGTTTTACGTGTCAGTTAATAATCTCATTTTCACCACATTGCAACGACCTTCAGATACGAAGTTCTATTTCTACTTATTTTTCCCTTCGATCTAGTAATTGTTCTGATCTTTAAAAAAAAAAGCATATTCCCACATCTTATTCTATTTTGAAGTTCGGCGTTTCGCCCGATTTCAGTAATCGCTTATTCTAGACGAGACCTTTGGCTTATTGGAAATGTGAGGATTCTGGAGGCCCAACATTGTAGTTCCGAGAGGCGTCGTCAGGAGCGGCCAGCTCGCGAACGAGCGGTCCTCGCCGTCAAGTGCCGAAGGTCGTGTGGACGTGGCAGGGGCCCCAAGCGGTCGCCGCGACTCTTCGCCATCAATCTCTCGAGCCTTTTTCCCCCCTCCCCGCCCCCCGGCCGCCGCGTCCGCGTCGCATTATGCCCCCGTTTGTAACGCGCCGCCGCGCACAATGCCGTCCCCGTCGACCTGCGCCTGCAAAAAGGCCTCGCCCCGCGTGCGCCCGCCCGCCGTGTGATGGATACGCGGCTCTCGTTCGGGCGCAAAACGCCTTCAGACCTGTCCCCTCGCCTCCCACGTCCCTGCTCCTGCCCGGTACCACGCCCCCCACCACCACCCGCTGTCCAGCCCCCCTGCTTTGCCCCCCACGCCCCCCCCGCCTCAACCCCCAGCCCTGCCTCGACTCCTTCGCTCGCCCTGACCTTCCCCGTCACCCAGCACGCCCCTTCCCTTGCTCCCGCCCGTCCTCACGCCCCGCCTTCGCCTCCACCCACTGTTCCTGCCCGAGCCCCCCGCCTTCCCTCCCTGCCCGCCTTCCCACCTTCCGCTCCTCACACCCCGGCCCCTGCCTTGCCCCCAGCCCGAACCCTACCCACCCCCTACTCTGCTCTCTTCCCCGCCCGTCGCCTTCTCCCTCCCCACACGTCCCAGCTGTCACACAGCCCCGCCCCCTTCCCCACCCCTACTTCTTCTTCCCCCCCTCGCCTCGCGCTTCCTCCCCGTTTTGCATGTCCCGCCGCCCCCGCCTTGCCTTCTTCCCCGCCACAGCTTCGCCCCCTTCCTTGCCCGCGGCCCCGCCTCACCGCGCCCATCCCCTCTGTTCTATCGCGCCATGCCCAGCCGCCCAACCCCTCTCTCCTTCCACGAGCCAGCCCTTGCCACGGCCGTCGCGCCGCATCGCTTATCGAGATTGATAAGCGCAAAAACAGCCGTCCACGCAGCTCTGGAGACGATGGCTTCGCGAGGCGGAGCCGCGTGTAGCGCGTCCTGCCTACACAAGGTTTCGACACGTGTTCAAACACAGCACCTCCTCGCTCTTTCCGGGGGCGCGAAAAAGGAAACTGACGATGTATCCACATTGTGCGCCCAAGGCGTTCTTTTTGTCTACGTCAGCACACAAAACACTCGACATATGCTGTCACAACAATGCATCTAAGTAAATGTACTATGATTGAAGAATAGTTATTGATGCATCAAGGTTGATTTAACTGGAGAAGTATAAGTAGTATTCATATAAGAGAAATTTAGAGGTAGCATTGGAAGAGCACGTTCTTTTTTCTCTCCGAGGCGAAACTTAGATAAGTCCAATGTGGCAAGAAAGCGGGTCCAAAAACATTATTTCAGTTCAGGTGCATGCAACAGTTTTTTGTACACTACTGTTTGAAGTTGTTTTTTAACTAAAATATCCAAAAGGTTGTGGTTTCAAAAATTATAGCTAGCTGTAGGAAAGTACGATTGGAAATTATTGGAATAGAAAGAA